TATCTATCTATCTATCTATCTATCTATCTATCTATCTATCTATCTATCTATCTATCTATCTATCTGTCTGTCTGTCTGTCTGTCTGTCTGTCTAAAAACGTGGTTAAAAAGTAAAAATTGCCAATTTGTTAAAAAAAAAAAAACCAAGATACATCATATATGAGTTTTCCCTTTAAAAAATATAAATAAATGTATAAAAATAAAACAATAAAAAATAATAAATGATATCTATCTAAAAATAAATTGCCAATGTTTTAAGAAATAAATAATTCAAGATATATCATATTCTATATTCTATATAAGTCTTACAATATTATTGATTTATTTTAATAATGGTTAGATATTTTAATAGAAAATATTAAAAGAAAAATATATTTCGAAGTGCATTGATGGATTAATGTTTAAAAAGACAAAACAAAGACATCAGACTGGGATTGTTCTCCTCTCCCTCTTTTTATCTGTCTGTGTCTCCTTTCTTCCCACTCACACATTAATTATTATTCTCATTAATCTCAGCAGATATCTTCTCTGTCGTTGCTTTGCTCCTCGAGCACAGAATCCTGAGCTCATCTCTGCGTGCAGCCGTTTCCATCGGCAACATTTTACTCAAGGCTTTTGTGAACTTCCCTAATTAGCTTCAGTCCTCAGAATACCAATGAGCCAAATTCCCACTCCATGACCGATCCCAACAGGGAGGAACGATGGAATCAGTAATATCTCTGATGCTGCATGCATTTTTACACCACAGCTACAGCTACACACCCCTAATGTAAAGTAAAGGGAATCCAGGTCAGATCTAATCTGACTCCATTCCACATGCTTCAACTGAAGACAATGTGGTTGGAAAAATTCACCTCATCACTTAAACCTGATGCATTTCTGGAAAAAAGGAGTATGTTTAAGTTGCATGAAGCTGCTCATAAATGCTGGAGTTTCTGCATGCACAGCATCGCCCTCCGGAGGCCTGGAGAGGAACTCAAAGCACTGAGGACACAATCACAGAACAAAATACATAGACTGAATACGATATTGCAATTTTGAGTCTCTTTTTATGTGTGGAATATGTAGCAGTGAACAGTCTGTGTGCATACCTAAAAAACATAAATAACCAGTCTTAATTTTCCAAACATAGCTACATTTTTATGCACCTGAATTTAAAAGCAGGTGTTTGATTGTAGCACCAGTCTATGCAGCAGTTCATGCGACTGAGCCCTGAATCAGAGCAGAAGAAGAGCGAGAAGCCCATACCTTGATGGTGGGAAGCACTAAATCCATGGCGGCACATTGTCGAGGGCTCAGACTGCGAGCTTCCTCCCGGATCACATGCTCCTGAACACAGAGAAAGACAGAGTCAATTACTGTCTTTACATCCACATTAAAATGCACTTCAAATCTTGTCCCACATTCATTTCCAACACGGGTCTAACTATATATACCACCTCATGTAAAAGAATTGGAATGAAATGCCATGCATAAAATGACTTGTTCAGACATGTTTGCTGTTTTTATTTGATTTGATTTGAGCTAATTATAATATGCATGCCCTCCATATTATATTTTATTTTAGCTATAATAATATTTACAAAAATAAAATATATAAGACCTCCAGTAAAATGTTTTTTTTTTTTTTTTTAATAAAATTGAATATTTTCTTTGGTTGTATATATTTTACTTCATAGCTAAAATGATAAAATAAAATAAAACAAAACAAAATTAAATTAAAAATATATTTTCCTCCATTTCCAAAGCTGGTCAAGCTAAACTACTTTATGTTAAACCATTTTGATAAAATGCAATGCATAGAATAATTCTGAGAGTTTAGATTTGCTTGTCAAGTTTGCCGTTTTTTATTTTATTTCAGCTGTAAAGAAAAATATACATGCCCTCCATTATTTATGTATATATTTATTTTAGCTATAAAATTAAAAGCCAATAGCAAATATATTATAATGTATTATTTCATTTTTATTTTGTTCTAGTTATAAAAAATATTTTATTTTATGAAGGGCTTATATATTTCAATTCATTGCTAAATAAAAATAAATAAATAAACAAAAAGTTTTGTTTAACATGTTTCCTAGTTTGTTTCTCTCTTTTTTCTAAAATGACTTAATACCAGCTGTTTTCAAAAGTTCCCTCCATCTTCTCTGGTTAGTTTATTTGAACACCAGAACCCTGTCCATAACATTAGGTGGGATATTCAGGTAAAACCCACACAAAATCTCAAAAGGATGGCCAGTGTGCGTTAGTCTTTTAATTTGAGCTTTGCATGCATACAACATTCAGAGGTCAGCAGGGTTTTCTAGCAGCAATTTCATTTAATCTTACAGGTCAATGGCGGTGCAAAGTTTAATACAAATAAGCCTGAGAGTGATAAGAGAGCGGCGTGCGAGCCAGTGTTGCAAGAGCAAGAGCTGATTCTGTCCACTGACTTCTCCCAGCTTCAGAGACGCGCTCACACCTTTAGTGTATTGATCAGCTGTTCAGGTCAGAACACATTCAGACTCGCTGCACTCCAGAACAAACACAAACACACCGAATGCACATTTCAGAACTCAGCGTGTGTTAAATCTTACTGCACTTTTATAAAACCTCACTGGATGCACAGTGCAACAGAATAAAAAACCCACCTCAGCAGCTGCATAAGGTGCAGTAATCAGTAGAACTTTTAATTTAACTTTTAATGTAATTTTCAGTACAAATGTTTAAACATTCTTGAATCAAGATACGTTTACTTCAGAAGCAAAATTGTTTTGCAAAGATGATCAAAATGAAGTGTTTTTACTTAAAACAAGAATAAATATTGGCCAGTGGGGTCAGAAAAATAATAGTTTTCTTTTAAAATTATTTTTCTAACCCCACTGTCAGATTTTCTTTTTCTTGCTCTAGTCTTAAATTCACTTAATTGTGACGTTATACTTAATATCTTAACTAATTTTGCTTCTCAAGTAAATGAAACTTGATTTCTGAATGTTTAGATATTTTTTAAAAGAAATTAATACTTTTATTAATCAAGGATGCTATAAATCGATCAAAAGTGACAGTGACAAAAGTGACAAAAGATTTCTATTTCAAATAAATGCTGTTCTTTTGAACTTTCTGATCATCTGTGAATCCTGAAAAACAAAATGTATCTCAGTTTCCACAAAAATATCATGCAGCACAACTGTTTTGAACATTGATAATAATCATAAATGTTTCTTGAGCAGCAAATCAGCATATTAGAATGATTTCTGAAGATCATGTGACACTGAACACTGAAGTAATGATGCTGAAAATTCAGCTTTGATCACAGAAATAAATTACAGTTTAACACATATTCACATTGAAAAGAGTTATTTTACAAAACAATAATATTTCACTATTTATTCTTTATTTTTGATCAAATAAATGCAGTCTTGCTGAGCAGAAGAGACTTCTTTTACCATTAAAAAACGCTTCAATTGAATTAATTTATTTTTTGAGTGAGTTTTAAGGCAGTTGCATATAATACAAAAAGCCATAGACAGTACCGCAGTTTCACTTGGTTTAGAAACAGAGCGGTTGAATTCTACACACAATTACTGAAGCACAGAGAACAAGAACCATAAAAACGCATTTGGAGCTAGAGCTGCAATTAAGCAGAGATGTTTCAGTGCATATGAAATGAGACAGAGAGAGGGACAAATGAGATGGAGCGTCTCCGCGGTTGGACTGTGGAGACATAATGACGAGAAGCCCTCCATCTGTCTGACACCTGCTCAGATCCAAGGCGCTCGTCCTCTGGACTTAAACTCCTCAGCGGGGCACATATAATTACACCAGCAGAAGCAGGGAAGTTTTCCAGAGAGACCGTAATGATGCAAACGGGCAGCGTTTGACGGACAGCTGTAAAGCCTTAGCATAAGCCAGAAAGCGTTTTTGCAGCTAAACGGGAGCTACATGAACGCGCTGCTGTAATTTGTGAGGATAGTGGATATCTAGTGCAGCTCCGAGTCCTCTGAGCTCCACGAGGAGCGATGCCTTCCAAACCTGACAAAATCCTTCCGCTTTAAGCTGAACATGCCTTGCTAACGTCTGCAATCTGATGCACACATTTGTATTCACAGGCTTGATTATTAAACCAATTACCTCCTATTTTGGGCTCATGTTCAAACACATGAAAGCCATTGCTTAAAGTTCATGCAAAAAACAAAAAAAACACACACACACACAGACAAACACACACACACACACACACACACACACTCTCACACACACACACACACACACCAAAAA